TAAACCCTAAACCGTTAAGGAACCCTAGGTACTAAGTCCCCCCCGACTTGTTGGCTTCTGCTTTGAGGGATCTCAGATTCGGATCCCCAGTCTCCACCGAGGCCCTGTCCCAGTCCGTGAGGGAAGGGCGCCGAAAAGGGTTTAGGGTTTAGGGTTTAGGGTTTAGGGTTTAGGGTTTAGGGTTTAGGGTTTAGGGGTTAGGGTTTAGGGCTTAGAGTTTAGAGTTTAGGGAAACTCTAAGTTTGAAGCCATGGGCCCCTAGTGTGGGCGCTAAAGGGTGGGATCCCTATACACCTACTATATACCCTATACGTACCCTTAAGGGTCCCTAAAAAGGCCTAAAGGCCCATATTAGGGGCCCATACTCCTAACCTTAGAGGGAAGGGCACCGAAACTCTAGGGCTCTAGGGTTTCGGGCTCCAGGAATTAGGGCTTAGGGCTTAGGGTTCTAGAGTTTGGGCCTTAAGGGGTCTAGGGTTTCGGGTTTTTGGGGGGTGCTTGGTGTGTTTCTGACATTGGTAGGTCTGAAAGTCGTTGTGATACTTCTAGACGGCTCTATTCTTGTTGCCTGAACTCTTCTCCTGTTAGAAGGCAAGCAAAAAGCAGACTGTTCGGAGATCCCCTAAACCTTAACCCTAAACCCTAAACCCTATCAAGGAAACGATTTCCCAAGAATGGAGCAAGCTAAAGCGAAACACCCAAGAGCGGCTAAACCCTAAACCCTAAACCCTAAACCTAAACCCTAAACCCCTAAACCCTAAATCCGGTTTTGGGGTTTAAGGTTTTTTGGTGATGGGATTGGTGTGTCGTTCACTCTTTTTTAGGGGGAAGGCTCCTTATCTTCAGGTCCCCGGGGTCGGGTTAAGGGTTGAAGGATTTTGGGGTTTAGGGTTTAGGGTTTAGGGTTTAGGGTTTGGGGTTTAGGGTTCAGGGTTTAGGGTATTTTGGGTTTTGGACTTTGGGCGAATAACACACCTTGCGCTTCTTACTTCCCCAATGAGCCAGGGAACTGAAAAGTTAACCTTTCGAATTACTACTAAGTTCTAAGAACCCAAAACGTTTAAAGGCTGGGTATTAGGGAACTAAGCCCTAAGGACCGGCATACTATGGGGATGCTGCTAGGCACCTTCTTCACGGAAGGGCTGATGTACTAAACACAGCCCTGGAACCCTGCGCAACCCAGATAAAGCCAAGAAAGCCTAGAAACCACAAGCCGAACTGTTAACTGTTAGGGCGTTCATACGGCTGATGATATAGATCCTGCATATATACCATAGCTGCCATAGTTTAGGGTCCTTAAGGTAATGCAGGATTTATATCACCAACAGCAGTTGAGTTTTACGGGTCTATGGTAGGGGAACAGGATTGTGGGGTGACTATGAGAGATGGACTTCTGGCTCACGGCCCGGATGATAAAAAGATTGACTGGCCTGTACAGATGTCAGGGCCTAAGCAAAACAAGCAGGATTTTAGAGGGCTTTGCTACAGCATTCAAGTGCTGAGATAAAGGTCCACCCAAAAAAGTAATTGAAGAGGTGCCGTCATTTTGAGACAGAGATTTTGAAGGTGCGTGAATTACTGATTACGCAGGCCCCCTTTATTATCCTGCACGTTGTCATCGAGCACGCTTGATCCTGCTCGAGTCTCAGTAGTTGCCTCCTCCCGCAGCGCAAAGGCCGCAAAGAGACTTCGCCCCTAAACCCTAAATCCCTGAATTCGCCGCTGAACCCTAAATCCTAAACCCCGAAACCCGGGGATTCATATGACGAAGGGCCCATCTCAGGGCTCGCGCTTTGGATTTCGATTTGGGTTTGGTTAGTTCGGTTTAGGGTTTAGGGTTCAGGGTTTAGGCTGTAGGGTTTAGCGTAGTTCTCTTAATTCGGGTCCATTTGACGGTCCTTTTCTGAAGCGTGCCGCACTAATTTGGTACCTGAAAAGGGGACCTAATTTAGAGAACTACGCGTTGAGGGCTTAGGATCTAATTTGCTCAGGGTTTAAAGTTTGGGGTTCAGGGCTTATGACCCTAAACCCTAAACCCTAAACCCTATAGGGCTTTGGGTTCGGGGTTTATGAGTTTGAGCGCTTCGGGTTTACACACTCGAGTCCTGCCTTAAGTTGAACCTAGAATCTGCCACTACCTAGGGAATTAGGGTTTAGGGTTGAGGGTTTTGGGTTTAGGGTTTAGGGTTCAGGGTTTAGGGTTTAGGGTGTAGGGGCCTCAATAATTAGAATAAGAGTCTTTAGGCTCCTTTAGAGAATTATAATACTAAGGAACCCTAACAGTAACATGGGTAATTATTTAGGCTTCTACATTACTACGGTTGATGATATAAATCCTGCATTACCCGTACTAGAGAATTTACCATAATTCCCATAGTTTAGGGCCCTGAAGGTAATGAAGGATTTATATCATCAACAGNNACTAGTACTAGTACTACTACTGCTGCTACTGCTACTACTACTACTACTACTACTACTACTACTACTAGAACTACTACTACTACTACTACTACTACTGCTGCTGCTACTACTGCTGAAGCGGTGTGTTTTGATTTCTCGGCTTTTTTTACAATCGAGACAACCAGAAGGGTTGTGAGTGATGAACTCCGGATGTCATAGACGTCTGCTCAATCCCGACGCATGGCGAAGGACTCCCTTAGCTGCGAGGAAAGCTACCACTACCACCACTGCCGTCACTGCGGCACGACGTGTTACTTCTACCATTACCACTACTACGCCTTGCTCTGTGTCCAGAGTGCTAAGGACCCAAAACCCGAATCCTGTTATTTTCCCTCTTTCGACTGTACGTGCCCTTGTAGACTCAATTTGGATCACACGGAGTGCAGTGCAAGCTCCACGGGGCCCCAAGGTCTGATACTTGCAGCTCCTGTCAATGTACTAGGGCTGAACGCTACCATCACCACCCACTACAAGTAGCGCTACTTCCACAATATTCTTGTTGCCGATAGTCCGATTATACGTTGTTTTAACACCTGGAGGCTGCGTGCACCTCGGGCTGGGAGGAGTTCTCCACAGCTCAGGCTGAAGGGTGATCTCGGCATCCCAAGCGCAAGGTTTATAACGTGCGTTTAAGTCTTGTTGCCTTCACTGGACCTTTTGGGATGTGGAGGCTCAGTGCAGGCTGCTGCAGGGTCCAGGATAGTTCGAGCCTCGAGTTCGAGCGTGGTTCAGGGCGGAAATAGATCATCCTTGTTGGGTTTGTGGGCTTTAAGCCTATGGTGGCCGGGAGGGTTGCTGTCGGTTGGATGCACTCCATATCATGCCCAAGAAGCAGGAGCTGGTCGGATGCAGCAACATATCAGGATTTCTTCGCAGGTATGTTGAGAATCTGCAAGTCCGAAGCTCCAGAATGTGTGTAGAAACAGCGTGTCGTCCTTGTACAGAACCTTTGTCCCCATCGTGATTATGAGGTGCGAGTGCGTGACTGTGTGTCTGTGTGTTTCTATGTCTGTATGTATGTATGTATGTAAAAATGTTTGTCCGTTTGTCTGTCTGTCTGGTTTTACTGTTTCTGTCTGTCTGGCGTTTCTGTTTCTGTCTGTTTCTGTGCCTGCTTGTTTCTGTTTCTGTCTGTCTCTCTTCCTGTCTCTCTGTTTGCTTTTGTCTGTCTTTGTTTATCTGTCTCTGGCTCTGTCAGTGTCGGTCTGCCTCTCTGTCTGGCTCTGCCTGTCCCTGCCTGCCTGTCTGTCTGTCTGTCTGTCTTGGTAAATGCGTGCATGCATAGATGCATGCATGCATGCATGCATGTGTATGTTGTACATATGCACGTGTATACATATATATATATGTACATATGTATACGTACATATGTATGTATGCATGTGAACATCGCATGTATCTGCATATTGTGTAGACATATCAAACACGCATACATTCACATATACACATACATACATAAATACATGCATACGTACAT